GTAGCCACTAGTCTTGCACCCATTTTACCTGTTTCAGTGAGCAAGTCTAGCACATACTTGCATTGAGAAATAAATGTTCCATCTTTAGACTGAGCCACTTCAATACCTAGGAAATACTTCAATTCCCCGTGGTCTTTGATGTCAAACGTTGCGTGAAGGAAGGAATTAAGGTTATCAATCCCTGTTACATTAGTGCCAGTCACTACAATGTCATCCACATAGACTATACGATATACCAACAATGAACCTTTCCTCTTCACAAAGAGGGTATGGTCAGACTGAGTCTGTGTGTAACCAAATTTAGCAAGAGCATCCCTAAACCTTTCAAACCAAGCTCTAGGTGACTGCTTGAGCCCATAGAGAGACTTTTTCAGCTTGCACACCTTATCCTCCATGTCTGTTCCATACATCCCTGGAGGGAGAGACATATAAACCTCCTCATGTAATTCTCCATTCAAGAAGGCATTTTTCACATCTAGCTGAAAGAGGGGCCAGTCTGAATGAGCTGGCAAAGATAGCAGGACCCTCATAGAGGTCATCTTCGCAATAGGGGCAAAAGTCTCTAGGTAGTCAATCCCATAAGTCTGTGTGTAGCCTTTTGCAACCAATTGAGCTTTGTACCTCTAACATCCTTGGTATCAGATTTATTCCTACCTATCTCCCTCTTCCCCTCTCTGCTTTCCTCTCCAATCACTTCTTGGGCACTTTCTTTTCTCTCATCCTTCCCCCCATTGTCAATAGGTTTCTCCCCCATTACCTCCATCCCTTCCTCGCTCTCTTCCTCCATGTTTCTTTTAGAAGACTTCGTCCTGTTCCTTTCCTCCCTCTCCCTTGTGAATGCTTTCTCATTTTGATTACTTCACCCGATGCCCTGAGTCTTCCTACCTGCATTTACTTCTAAACAGTTTGCATCATTGCTCTTTATCAGACATTTCTGAAGTCTAGAATTAGCCTTAGGTCCTTTCTTTTTGTAAACTCTCTTAAATCTGCAACATGGACCATCCCCGACTAGTCCTTGAGAACCAGTTGCCCGTTACTGGAACCTCTCATTTTTCTCAAGTTCTTTGCCTTGTGGTTCTCAAAGTTAGTCAAACTCGGATTGGTTTCGACTCTTCTTCTGCCTAGCTCCATCCTTGATCCCTGACGGAGACAGGTTCCCCATTGGGGATCCGAATCCCTGAAATTTTTTAATTGAAAGTTTTTTTTTGGAAAAATGGATTTACTTAAAATAAAGGGAACTTCTAAAATATAAATAACATTTCAAATATATAATATATATTTAATGTAAATAATATTTAATGTATATAATCGGGGTCAGGGCCTAGTGAGAAGTACTGAGAACTTCACTCATCGTCCCCTTACCCACCCTTGCCAAGGCAATCACCATCTCCATTCCCATTGGGTTGGGTAGAATGAGTACTGGGTAGGGATGGAGAATTTTTTTTTGATCAATAACCACATTTCATTAATTAATCACAAAAATAATTACAAGGAGGAAGATAAACTTTATTATCTTCCAACTGGAGCTTGAGCTCCCAAGAACAGAAAAAGGAAAAAATTACACTTGTGCCCAAAGCATTAACTCCCTCTCGACTCCTTGCTTAGCTAACCCATCAGCAAAAGAGTTAGCTGATCTTTTCACCCAGCTGATATTAATTTCCATCTCTTGAACCAGCCACCTAAATTTTCTCCTCTCATTACTGTACATCCATAACCTACTATTTTCTTTATTCAGCCACCCTACCACCACCTCCGAGTCTCCTTCAATGATGAGTTTTCTTATATTCATCTCTAGGGATGGAGAAAATTGCTATCCCCACTAATGAAGATCACTTTGAGATTGAAGTACCACATATTCATACTTATTTTAGGCATAGACGACATTAGCTTAGAGTTACTTTGATTAATGCACAATTTGGGTTTAATTGTAAAATTTCTTCTTAGTAAGGGAGCTATTTGTAATTTTCATATTTAGTAGGGACTTAATTGTAATTTTCAGCTCTAGGTTTCTTATAAATACACATCATGTTAGGGTCGTAAGAAATTATGTTTTGAGAAAAAGAATCTTTCATATCCTCTTTTGAACTTCCTTTCTTCCTTCTCTTCTTGTCTTCTTCTAATTTCTTGTAAGAGGTGGTGGTGGGGTTGGGGAGTACGGTCTTGGCCCTAAATCTGCCCCATTGACATTCCTAAATTCCTCCATGTCAATATATTAAATTAATAAAAAATTAAGTATGTAATAGTAGTAAAGACTTAATAATTAATAGTATATAATACCAACACATAAAGTTAATCACAATAAAATAATACTAAGATAAATTAGGAAAATTAAAATAAGTATTAATAAATAATACATGTAATAGTAGTAAAGACTTAATAATTAATAGTATATAATACCAACACATAAAGTTAATCACAATAAAATAATACTAAGATAAATTAGGAAAATTAAAATAAGTATTAATAAATAATACTAAAACAAGTTTAAATTTTAGTAAATATATATGCATAATATTTCATTAGATATTTTTAATTAGTCTTTTAATCTAAAATTATTCTTTGTATATTGCACCTATATTTAAATTTCATTTAAAATAAATGAAAATGAATAAAATCTAATAAAAAATAGTAAGAATCAAAACAAAAATTTATAAAAAATAACATTCATTTAAATTCAATTTATAATAATAAAAAATAACAACCGTTTATCTAACCATAATAAAATTTATAAACATTAATGGAAAAATTAATACAAATTTATCTAACAATACATAACTCAAAAATAATTCTTGGGTTCGAATTAGTTTGGCTTTACCCAATTAAAAATGTCACAATGGTCCTTCCACTTGGATTTTGTTTAACAAAGTCTGTGCATTGCACAGGGCCCCTGCTATGTTAATGTAGTTTATATTTGAAGTAAAAAAAAAACACTTGGATTAATTGTACCTATACGCAGTTAAGTTAATTTATATATTGGTTTAATTTAGATAAGTAGTGATTGGAGATAAAAAAACTTTGATATATACGGGGAGTATTCAGAGATGGAGATGGGAGAATTGTTGCTATGTTCTCTGGTCCAATAGGGGTGGGAGACTTATTGCGAGCAGAAGTGATAGCTCTGCTTCAAGGTGTAAAATATGCCAAGCAATTGGGATTACACCAAGTGGAGATAGAAGGAGATTCTAAATTGTTAATGGACTGGCTGCAATCAGGCAATTTGGGAGCATGGAGGTATCAACAGCCCATATGGGAAATTCTCAATATAACAAGGGAACTTGATGCAGGCTTCATGTGGAAAAGAAGATCAGCTAATGGTCTGGCTGGTACCTTAGCCAAACAAGGGAGAGTGAGGGAAAGTTTGTTCTGGGCAGTTCTGTAATTCAAAAAAAAATTGTACCTTAATTTTCAGTAATCAAGTTACCGTTTCCAATAAAATAAATAAATAAATAAATAAATAAACTTTGATATTAATAAAGACTGCCCTATTTTGTTGGTAAATATATAGATTCTATTTGTGTTAAAAGTAAATTAATTAATTATCTTAGATTAATCAATTACCTATTTAACTTTTTTTATTAGGTAAAATACTTTTTTCTAGGACAATGATATAATGTTTACATTTATTTTTAATCCCTTCTGTTATCATATTGGATATCAGGTATTTCAGTGCATTGCACGGGACTCCGCTAGTATTACTAATAAACCAACAATTTAAAACTGTTATACATGCAACCCCCTCCCCTCTATCATAAACAGGGAGAAAAGAAAAAAGAGAGTTCATACAAAGAGACCATAAAGATGAACACACACATTGAGGGGTTTGGGTACATAGCTGTGTACAATAATAGGAAAGTACAAAAGAATAAAAGAATTATCTGCTCTGAATTTTTTTTCTATAACAATCTGCTCTAATTAGAACTTGCTATTTTGAGATTCCTAATTGAGAGCTTGATTGATAGATTAGAATGGGAGAGTAATCTTCTACTTCAGGAAAATCAGCATGGCGCCTTGGGTTGCCTAAACTGAGAGTCCTAGCACCTTCACTGGCATCTGGATCTGGATCTGGGTCTAGTGGATTACTTGAACCATTGCTATCTGTTCCATCTTCCTTTACAAAGAGAAAGTAGTGTCGAGAGAGCACTCTACCAAAATAAAATATCAAAAAAAAAAGAAAAACTGACAAGTGTTGATTCCTCTGGATAAAGTTACTGTCCATGTCTTTGAAATATGAGAGAACCAGAATCTAATCAAGAACGAGCGAGGCTAATATACTGCACATATCCTTCTAAAGTTCCTTTCCTTATAAAAAAATAGCCTTCCTTTCTCTCCAAATTCCCAACATACCACAAAAGTAATTTTTGAATGTTAACCCTTAGAATGCTGTTAGGCTCAAAGTCTCGAACTACATACACATTCACATTCTAACGAGGTGACAACACTTTGAAACTTTTGGATCTTTTTTAATGTAGGACCAATGGTTCAACTATACTCCAAGCTCTGGCTCCACTCTACATTGCAGACATAGGTCAGAACCAGGCATGAAACCGTCATCAACTAGAACAATCATTGATTTTGCATGTGAAGTGGACAGAACAGAAAATTTAATACCTACAAGTATAGTCAGTGGAACAAAAACTGCAGCTTTGTACTTGCTCTGCTATGATTTTTTATCTTTTACTATTTAGTTCCATCATTCTTTCTGAAACTCTATTTTGGGGCACTTTCCATTTTGTTTTCCAAAACAGTAAAAAAATTACCCCAACTAAAAATGTTGAGCCTTCGTTGGCCACAAATGTGTTAGATAAGACAATCTTTTTAATCTCTGCAATGAGTAAGCTACTCTAGGTTAACTGAGAAACATATGTATTCTTTACATTTTGTGCACAAAATGACCATGAGGAACCAAGGAATTTCTGATTCAAGATATATTTGTATTGCAAGTTTACATGCAAGATTCTTGCTTCTATTTTACAATTGTAATTTAATATTCTTTTTCTCAGATAAACCACCTATAGAGGAGTTACAATATTTCTTGGAATTTCAAATTGCACGAGTCTGGGCACCTGAAATAAGTAATGTTCCAGGATATCAGCGAAAGGAGCCTGTGTGTCCATCCCTGCAGTTCAGCCTGATGGGCCCCAAGCTTTATATCAGCACAGATCAGGTATCTCCATTGTATTGATCAAATTCTGTTACAAAAATAAAGCTTAAAGAAGCAAAGTTAGAGAAAAATCTCAGTTATAAAGTTAACTGCCTGTGCATAAAGCACCATTTCTGTTTTGTGATGACCTTGATGAATCTCATGACACATTTGTGTTTGACACTTAGGGAAAGTCCTTGAGTTTCAGAATACATTAAAGAAAATAGAGCTCACAAGTGAAAGCAATAGGCCAAAGATCTGCCTATGTTGTACACAAACTGCTTTATGGATGAAGTACTTATGTTGGGCACATGTTGGACTCCTGCACTACATGATACATTCACTTCTGGAAAATGTTTTTTTTTTTTGGTAGTAAGATAAAAAGAAAGTACAAGAAAGGTGATCAGAAGCCACTTGAGATAAGAAAAAACCTATACCAGCCACAGCCTAATCTCCAGCAATCAATACCACTACCTCAACTGATACAGAAACCCCCCACAAAACAGACCCAAACAAGCAAGAAAAACAACAAAAAGTTGCCCTCCCGACCCCAACTCACCATACCAAGTTTACAATTTTCATCACCCCCTTAATACCAAAAGAAACGAAAAGCACAAACCCTCTGACTTGACATCTTCTACCAACACTCAAAGCCTAGAAATTTCATTGGGTTGTGCAAGACCTCCTTTACTTGTCTTGTTCCCCTTCCTAACTCTTTTCACTTTCCTACAAGGCCCAATACCAAATAATCTCCCTTTCAACCTGGCAAAAACTTTTGAGACCTGAACAGTATGATGATTTTTCTTAGTTCTGAACCGCCTCAGTCACAGCAGTAGGGCCATCCAAAAAAGCCTGTGAATCCAAAGGATTCTCATTGGTTCTTTCTAAAACCATATTTCTTTTGAAAGTCCAACCTCCTCCTTTCCCTCATTCTCATTGTTCCCTGCTAAACTAAGAACTTTCAAACTATCTTGAACACCCTTAACCCTGAGGTTAGGAACTTCCACTCACTAAGCACTTTTTTTTTTTTCTGCTCTTTTTCCGGAGTATACTTTTCCTCCAATTTTTTGAAGGTTTTCCTTGCAAATTCCTCCCCCTAATACAATGTGGACCCAAAATATTGCTCACCTTCCAAACAAAATGGACAAACAGAGAAGATTTATTCTGGGCTGAGTTGTAATAGTAAACCTGCTGGGGGTCGGAATCCCTAGTTTAAGGGATTGGACCTTTGTATCATTCCACTTTTATCCAATATTAATGAAAGTTACTGTTTCCTATAAAAAAAGTCTTGCTCACAGACCTCAGTGTTTACCGTTTTCTTCAAATCTATTGATCTTCCAATAACATAAATTTTATCCATGACAACCTCCTTGTCATCTGATTCAGTTTCTTCATCTCCAGCCTTATCATCTTATTCTAATGGCAATGTTCTGTAATTCCTTTTCCTTTTGTACACATTTGGACGATGAATCTCACACACTTCTCCCTTCACTTGTCCTTCCCCCCTTTTCTTCTTTGTTTCCTGATTCTGATTCTTCCTCACCCTTATCATCTTTTTCTGTCTCGGAAACTCCTACCCCTTCCTCAACACACTCCTGGTGTTCAACTGCAGGTTTCCTTTCAGCATTTTTACTCACATTTGTGTCATCCCCTTCACTTTCCTTCATCATCCCCTCTGTTTCTGGAAATTTTCCTTGTTATGTTGCATGACTGACATAACTGACCTAAATTGACCTCTACAAAATAATACAAGTTCTATCTCTTCCTACAGAAAATTCCTATCTAGCAGAGAAATCATATCTAAACCTTTATATGAACATTTTCCATAGGCATATGACAATTTTATGAAATACCCCGTGTTTAATCTTTCTTTTTCACTGGTAAGATGAAACTTCATTGGAAAGAAAGGATAAGAACAGGATTTTTTTTTGTTTTTCTTTTTTTATTGGGGGATGGGGAGAAGAAAAGATGCAACAGAAGCCCCAAACCAAGATGCCTACTCTGGAAAGGCAAGCTTCAATGCAACTTGCCTTCAACTCTATTCCTCTCCAATGAGTCGGTTAGAGGTTTGTTTTGACCTTGTGCTCTTGTGGAATGAGATTTGTGCACTGGAAATGATAGACTTGATGTCCTTAATGTGATGAGGAAGCAACCAGGCACCGTCATTGCCCCCTCTCAACTATCCTATCACCATAGGAAAATCCCACTCCACCTTGGGGAAAGCTAAAGAGTCAACAGGAAACCTTATAGAGAGAACAGTTATGATCTGATGGAATTACCCTGACCAATTCTGCCTGAATAAACAACACAATCTCATCCGAATGATCTCTATAAACATCCCCAACACCCAATCTCCCTGGTTTTCCTGAAGAGCACCTATCAGAGTTATGATTTGTACCTCTTAGCAGGAGTTGGGGTGGGGTGGGGACAAGTTACTGGAATGATATCTAGTCCTAATAGAAGACGCCATGTGAGACCACCCTCTGACCACATCATCCACAAAAAGTCAATACGACTATCTGGTGAGGCTTTGACACCTAATTATTATGACGTCAATGATGAATTCTTGGCTCCGTTTCTTCTATCTAAGAAAAGCCTGGCACTGCTCTCTACCCAAATTGACCAACATGAAATCTACTGTCAGACTGCAGTAGATAAATCTTCCCTTTTTGGTAGGAGGGGAAGGTCTCAAAGAGTAGAGGCATGCAATCTGGTGCCATCTGATGGTGACCAAATCATGTCAAACAATGAGAAAGGGTGCTGAGTGACTCAAAAGAGCAAATGAAGTCATGAATAAACCTAGGAGTAGCTCCAACAAGTGATAAAATGAGAGAAAGTAGACTGAGATGGTTTGGTCACGTTTATAGAAGACCATATACAACACCTACTAGAAGTGATCTGTTACAAATTGAAGGGGCTAGAAGAGCTAGGGGAACACTGAAAAGGACTTGGGTAGAAGTGGTAAGAAATGATTTAAGCACCATAGAGTTTAAAAATGGATATGGCACTGAGCAAAATGGAATGGTGAAACAGGATCATTTAGCTGACCCCACCGTTGGGACAAGGCTTAGATGATAATGAGTTCTTATTGTTGGATGTAAATAATTACTCCAGCATACCTTTTATCTCTGAATATAATTTAATCCTTATTGTTGAAATAAATTACATAGTTCAGATTATCTAAATATACTGCTGAGCTGACAAATCCTTACTTTTAGGCCCTGTTTGTTTACCAGTAAATAAGAGGGGGGAAGTTGGTCAATGAGTATCTCTTTCCCATTGACCAACTTTACGGCAAGGTTCAAAATATCGATATGCCCGATACGTCGGTAGAGGCGTATCGGTAGTTTTTTTAGTTTTTTTTTCAAATCCGGTTCAGAGGGGCCGGTTTAAGGTCAGTCCACCCCCTGAACCAGGAAGCTCCCGATACGGCAAGGTTCAAAATATCGATACACCCTCTGTAGGGGTGTATCAGGAAGCTCCCGATACGGGCCGATATGTATCGATACTTTGAACCTTGCTTTACGGTGTTCTTTTTGCATTAAGTACTGGGCGCCACGGTAAAGAGCTTCACTTACCTGGGTAAAACTTAACTATCTCTCAGGTGGGTAAGTAACTTTCCTAATTAGGGGAAAAGTTTATAAAATATGATGAGACAAATTTGCCCTTTTTAACATTAGCTTTTTATGGGTAAAAAGGTCATTATATTACTTACATAGGAATTAAAAGAACATGAGTAAGTGAACTTACCCGGGTAAGTGTTACCCAGGAAACATTTACCCAGATTAGTTACCTGGGTAAGTGAGAAATTTGTAAATGAACGGGGCCTTATTGTTTGCCTAGTTTGATACTTGATATACCCATAATCAAGAAACATACCTCTTTTCTGTTTAACGAAGTTTCTGTTATCTTCTCGCAAAAAGAAACATAAACTGTGGCTTATGTAATTTATATTGGACCACTAATTTTGATCATCCTGGCATCTTATGCAGATAACAGTTGGTCGTAAACCTGTCACTGGACTCAGACTTTGCCTTGAAGGAAGCAAGCAAAATAGACTCACTATCCATTTGCAGCACCTGGCATCTCTTCCAAAGATCCTACAGCCGCATTGGGATTCACATATGGCCATTGGGGCACCAAAGTGGCAAGGTCCTGAGGAACAAGATAGCCGGTGGTTTGAACCAATCAAGTGGAAAAATTTCTCCCATGTAAGCACAGCACCCATAGAGCACACTGAGACTTGTATTGGGGACCTCTCAGGCGTTCACATTGTAACAGGGGCTCAGCTGGGTGTCTGGGATTTTGGTGCCAAAAGTGTCCTATACCTGAAACTTCTCTTCTCCAAAGTACCAGGCTGTACAATAAGAAGATCAGTATGGGATCATAGCCCTTCAAATACTCTTGCACAGAAGGTCGACAGTCCATCTTCATCGTCCTCTAGTGAGAGTAGTTCAGATGATAAAAAGGCTGATAGTTCAGGTCAGACTGGGAAGCTGGCAAAGATAGTGGACTTAACAGAGATGTCGAAAGGGCCACAAGACGTGCCTGGTCACTGGTTAGTGACGGGTGCCAAGCTTGGGGTGGAGAAGGGAAAGATTGTGCTACGTGTAAAGTACTCCCTACTGAACTACTGAAGATACGTTGTTGTAGTACTGTATTCCCCGAGTTCCTGACAGCACTATCAGGCATTTTTTTTTTTTAATTTTTTTGCACAGTCAACACACTTGTTCTTTCGTTCTTCTGTAAATACTTCCAGTTTTCTTAGTGTCTGATTATAAATTATCCGAGGCTCTGTTCTTTCGAGTTGGTGCTAATTTTTTGTTCTATGGATGAACTGTTAGTTTGTTCTGATAAATATTGTTATTTCGGAATAATTTCTTGTAAATTCTCAATGTGGTTAAATTTGACTGCAAGCAACGAATAGAGATGAGATAATGGGCTCATTTGTTGTAATTATAATTCCTGTTGCCACCCCAGAAAGAGACAATATTTTGATTATGCACCCAGAACAAAAACATGTCCGGAAGCAGCTGTTGTAGGCATAAAAAACTCCTTGGTTCCATGATTCCACATATGATACCGTTTGATCTTCATTCTGGGTAAGCAAGCATTTGCATAAGCTGGGCGAGGCGCCCTTAGTCAGCGCACCGTTTGCGCATTTGGAGGACGTGCTACGCGTCCTTCGAATTGTGTGAATGCATGCTTTAGCCCCGCATTGCCATTAGTTGAAGTTAAGCAAAACGAGCGTTTTGCTCCTCTCCTCTCCTGTCGCAGACGAGATATCTCTCCTGGCGGCGACTTTCTCTCTCTTTCTCTCTTTCTGCCTGGCGGCGACTTTACAACCATCACTGTTCACCGCCGGTGACAAACAACCATCATGGGATCAACCTCAGGTATTGTTTTTTTTTGCATCTCTTATTTTTTGTTGCATCTCTTCTTCTTCTATGAAAACTAACCCTAATCGTTTTTGTGGGCTGGAGTCTTCGTCCACCAAGAACACTGGCGATCTCATCGACTCTGGTTTTCTGGCCATCTCCCGTGGCTGCCCAAAACTGGCCAAGTTCGAGGTTCAAGGCTGTAATAACATCACAGAGATGGGAATGAGGAACTTGGCTGGCATGCTCCGGAAAACGCTGGTTGATGTGAACATCTCCTGCTGCAAAATCCTCGATGCTGCATCCTCACTGCGAGCTCTGGTGCCAATTTGGGACAGGATCCAGCGGTTGCACATAGATTGTATATGGGACAGCCTACAGCAGTCCGAGATTCCTAGCAATAAGCCCGCCCCTCGACATGCTTTCGACCTAAATGAATCTGCGGAGGAAGCCAACACATCCAATTGCTCTGCTACTGGGTTCATGAATGATAGTCCCAAGAAGAAGAAATGCAGGTACACCGGTGATGGGTTCATGAATGTAGTCCCAAGAAGAAGAAATGTTGGTCTCGGCTGCAATACCTCTCCCTTTGGATCCCCGTTGGCCAGCTGCTGACTCCTCTGACTTTAGCTGGATTAGACAGTTGCCCTGCTCTTGAGGAAATCGGAATTAAAGTTGGTTTTCATGGATGAAGAAGGGATGCAACAAAGAAGAAAAGGTGCAAAGAAAACAATACCTGAGGTTGATCCCGCCACCGGTGATGGTTGTGAAGTCGCCACCGAGCGAATGGGGAGAGAGAGGGAGGAGAGATGTCTCATCTGCTACAGGAGAAGAGAGGAGGGCGGATGGTTGTGAATGCTCGTTTTGCTTAACTTCAACCAACGGTGATGCACACTAACGGGGCTGAATTCTTCAGCCCTTCAAACCGTCTGAATCATCATCCGTAACCATGATTTCAGGTCAGGTCCAGTTTGGTCATGAGTTACACATTCTATGTATGTACAGATTTTTTGAGGATTTTTTATTTTGGGTTATTTTTTGAAATCTATGCATCTCAAGGGGCCATAGGCACTTTGCCTCACTATTTTTGTCAAAAAAACCTTTTTTTGGGCTCAAATTGCAATTTTAACATTTTTACAAATAAAAAAAAAATTAAAAACTGAATTTTAAAATATAAAGTAATGCATATATTACATGTAGAATGTAATTGTACATTACTTATTGGTAAAATATGTGTTTATAGCTATATGTATGTATGTATTTTCTGACATAGCACGGTTTGACTTATTTGATCCAAATGATTGAACCGATGATCCGTGGCCCGGAGGCAAAAACATTTTGGCCTCTGGGTCAGTTTTAAAAACATTGATTGATACAATGGTGTAAGAAAGAATGGCATAACGACCAAGTCTGCATCCTATGCTAAAGTTTGCTAAACAATGAGCAGTTGAATTGGCAGACTGGGGAACAGATTGTATTGAGCAATGGGAGAATTTTTAAATATAACTTTTGCAATCTTAATCTATATCTATATCTATATTAGTATAAAAAGGATGAATAAGGTGTTAATTTTTGGAAATTTTCTTGATTAAGACTATTTGGCATTATTTATTTTAAGTACTTATTTTCTTTTTACAGTTAAAAACTCAGTATTGATAGGGACATTTTAACAGAAAAAAAAAAGAGATAAATCCTTAAAATAAGGAATGCCAAATGCAGCCTAAGATACCTAAGTTTGTACACAAACAGATACCTAGGTAGATACTAGAGTGGTTCAAGCATAGATTATTGGCAAACAACAAAAATGGTTAGGTGATAGCTATAAGCAACCAAGAATTATATACTTACATACAAGATAGAAAAACTTGAAATGACGAGATATTTGAATCCTAACTTTGCTAGACGATTATGTTTTCAAAGGACAACAAGAGTGATTACAAGGTAATGTACCTTATTGTAATAGAAATGATACAAAACAAGCTAGTGTCTATATATAGAGAACATTGGTACGCAATAGATGATTTTTGGAGCATTGGTACACAACAGATCATTGATGGTTATTGGTATTTCTCAGTTCTCACTTTATAGGTGGTTTTTTTTTTCACGTCAGAGTGCACACTCAATTCTTTTCAAAATGTTTTGAAACAAAACTTTAAGGCTCAATTCATTTTTTGGTAAGTTATTTATCCGGGTAAATACACTTATTCAGGTAAGTGTTTTCCAGGAAATACTTACACAGGTAAATGTATTTATCCATTTTCTTTTATTTTTCATGTAAATAAGGCAATGACCATTTTAACCATAAAATTCAATTGTTAAAAGGGACATTTTTATCCCATTCAAGTGTTGGCAACTTTCCCCCAGACGAAAAAGTTATTTACTTACCTAGAAAATTGGTATCACTTACCCGTAAGTGATACAAAAAATAATAAACTTTTCCTGGTCCCCACATAAATCTGAAAAAAGAACACTTTCTCCCTCTCAAAATCCAAAAATATAACACCCCTAATTATTTTTCACCAATTGAGAGAATGTTATGTTAATTTAATCATTTTTAAAATATGTCTTCTTCCCATTTTAAATTTTTATAAATTTTCTGCATATTAGAGATGGGATGTATGATTACAATAGCTAGTTATGATGACTCTAATCCTTAATTAGGGATTTTATAGCTCCCGAATGTTAATCATGATGAGATATATGTAAAACCATGATGATTGTACAGCTCCAAAATCATCACCAACCGACTTCGACCACTTCTACAGAAAATCATCCCCATGCAAGGTGTCTTCACACCTGGTAGATAACCGATAATACAATCATAGTCCACGAAGTGATCCACACAATGAGGAAGGACCTCTAAGGCCTATGATGGGATCGAATGGAACTTCTTAATGAATATGTTAGATGCTTTGGGATTCTTAAATGGTAGGGATGGCAAATTTTTTCGTCCTCGATAGGGACTTAACTTTTCCAATTTTATCAGATTGGGGATGGGAATTATTTTGACAGAGCAGGAATGGGGATGGGGATTAATAGGAATTCTTGTCGGTATCGATGAAGGAAGACACATTTTATCCATGATAAAGATGAAGGTTAATTTCAGAATTGGGATACTGGTCAAGTCTTTTCTCCCACAAGAGGTCTTAAACAGGGCTGCCCTCTAAGCCCTTACCTCTTCATTACCTGCCTAGAAGCCTTGTCCCACAATCTCATTCATAGCGTGGAAGCAAGGCAGCTCAATGGATTCAGATTCGGTTGTTTGCAGACGACTTGTTACTCTTAGGAAGAAGCTCTCACCATGAAGCTGTTAAACTCAAGGAAATCTTTGAATCTTTCTGTAATTGGTCTGGTCAACATCCAAACAATAAAAAATCAGCTATTTTTTTTCACCCTCAATGTACACAGGAGGGCTAGGCTTCGAATTGCAAGTATCTTTGGCGTCACCCAGCTGAAACTGAATGACAAGTATCTAGGCAACCCACTATTTACTAAGAAAAACTTCATTGGTGACTGGAATCACATCCTAGAGAAGGTGAGGAATAAACTTGCATCTTGGAAAAGGAAGCTCTTATCACATGGAGGTAGAACTGTACAAAGTACTCTTGAAAGCAGTCCAATCTATTCAATGCAAACCTGTCAAACATAAACATTACGTGCCCTCTTTGTCAGGATGCAAAGAAACCATTCACCACCTGTTCTTTGAACGCCCCAGTACTCAAGTTGTTTGGTTCGGTTCTGCACTATCTCTTAGAGTGGAAGTCCACCCACATTTTACTTTAATGCCCCGTTTGTTTTTCGGTAAGTCATTTATTTGAGTAAATGCACTTTTTCGGGTAAGTGCATTTATTCATATTCTTTAATTTTTCATGTAAATAAGGCAATAACTATTTTAGTCATAAAAATTCTATTATTAAAAGGGACATTTTTATCTCATCCAAATATTGTCAAATTCCTTAAAGGATTGGATTGAATTCTGATGAAAGCTGGATGATGTTAATGGGCAGTTGGGCACCACCCATCCTACAGCCTTGCTCTTACAAGTTGGAAAGCAAGGAAATAAGGTATCTTTGAGCACAAAGTCCTTTGGCCCTCGATCCACCATGGCTGATCATGCTCACAAAACTGGGAAATGGCCTGCAAAATCCAAAGAACCCATCAACCTCCCCAAGGCGCACATAATCATGGAAGGGATTTGAGCAGAAGGCAAAAAAACGCCGTCCGGTCGAGTCAGTCAAAATTAACGTTGATGGCGCAGTGGCCCATTCGCCAGAGCAGTTCCTTTAGACCATTGCCCAGCACAGGTAGCGGAAGCCAATGCTCTCTTGTAAGGTTTAAGAATGGCCCTCTCTCTCTAAACCTGTCAAACACAGTTATTGAAACTGATGCTAAACCTATCATCGACCTCTTGTTGGTGGAGAACAGTGACCCACTTTGGCGACTCCGATTTGTGATTGCAGAATGCAAGAGGCTCTCCCATCAGCTAAATAACTATGTTTTTAGTTACAGTCCAAGAAATTGTAATAAGGTTGCTCACCGTCTAGCTAGATTTGCCCTTTCTTGTACTCGAACAGTTTCTTGGTCCACCCCCCATCTTCTAGGGGTGATCTATTGACTCTTTCTAACCTTTGGTTTTTTTTTTTAACTCCTTTTTAACAGTTTCCTACTTTCCTTCTATTTTGACCTTTAAATAAATGGAAAGTTTTCAACTTTATAATTATATTTCTGCCTTTTTACATTGCATTTGGTTACAAAGAAAATGGAATAATGGAAAAAGGATATTAAAAAAAAGTGCTTTTTCCTAGTTTGATTAACAAGACAAACCAAAATAGGAAAGAAAACAAATAGATAAATAAGGTAAACATTTTCTTTGACCTCTTTTATTTTCTCTTATTAAGTTGGAGAAAGCAGAGAAAAATGAAAAACAATGAAGAATGAAGCAAAACTTGCCCCACTCTATCATATTGCAATAAGCACAATATGCAATTAATATCAACTAATACAGTAATAAATGGAAATCAACAAAAATATGCTAAAAAATGCTGGAAAAGGGTTGTTTGGGGATTTAAAAAGTAACCACATGAAAATCTTTTTTAAAATTAACTGACAAAATGTTAATAGAGGGAATCTTAGTGAGAATCTGAAAGTTCAGAGGGGTCTATATGTCGCAAATGAAAGTTCAGGGGTAATTGCCCAAGATAAAATGAGGAATGCTAGTGAGTGATAAGTTTATGCACCCTGATTTATTGCCATGACAGATTTTGTTGCTTTTGTATAGAGCTGTCAATGGGTCGGATCTATCCAAGAGAATTGAACCGACCAAACCTTTTATGTGGTTCTAGTTCTGTGGTTTTTGTCCAAATTAATTATTGAGTTGGGACTGGTTGTCACTGTTTTGAATTGATTATATAGTTAATAATATGTTAAGGTTTCTTGGTTTTCTTGTAACTTTTGTTATATAGTTAATAAATTTTATGGTCTAATTGAGCTAAATCAGCTTAAAAACAAATCGGGCCAGACCCAATTATCCCTATTAATAATTCATTCGGGACTGGTACACCGTGTCCCGAACCAGACCCGATCCATTGACAACTCAACTTTCGTTTCATTCATTTTTAGTTGAAAACAAGTTATTCTACCAGCTCCTCTTGGTGTTCTGGTAAGTTGATGAAGGTTGGTCTTACGCTTCGCTTGACCTATGGGGACCTTAAAGTAGAAGGTGGGCCTAAAAATAAACCTGCATTATTTGGGCTCTGGAGATCCAAAACAGAGGTGGACTGTATGGAATCCTTGTTTGGGATGGGCCTCACTTTGGTTTGGTTATCTAGCGACCCAAATTTGGTTTGTTGTCCATAGCTGTGTCGTCTCTTGGGTGTTGGTTTCCGAAATATATCTAGCGACCCATCTGGAACGGAAGTTGGGTTTGAATCTTGGTTTTATTTGAACAAATAATCATGAGAAAACTGACCAAACATCACATGGATGGGGGACATGGTGCCTCAATGACATACAATTATTTGAATGCACTGAAATC